TCACTAGATAAGCTACTAGCTATAACAGATTTACCTACTTACTCAGCTAAGCAAGGATGAACACGGTAGCTTTTAAGGACTTAGCCAGATTTTCCATAAAGAAATTCTGTGACTGTTATGACTAGTACTAATATTATCGTTACTAACGCTCGTTTTATTAGTAGCAGCACCTTTCTTTAATCAAGCTCGAAATGTAACGTTGTTTCTGCGTTGCAAATCTGAGGATGTGACGGTGAAGCAATTACCGACCGGAACCGCCTTAGCTCTAGTCCTAAAGCAATCAGTTTTATTAAGCTGCACCGGTTATAATGTGGTTACGATAACCCATAGAAAATGTTCACGTTCACAGCAGTATGATAAAATGCTTTGCCAAGCCAGATCTAGTTCGTTCGATGCTTTTGCGACTGTAATTACGGTTACTGATTTGAAAAATCGCCGTTTGTAAAATAGACTCGTGACCCCTAAAATCCAGCCTTAACAGGAATAAAAAATATTTTATTTATAATGAAAGAATAACACAACTACCGTGGTAAACAATCAGTAAACACCTGCACAAGCGGGCTTGGCAGTGCAATATTCTTATTATCAGTAGAATGCGTCAAATGGTGCAGTCCTCAAACGGAAACATAACTAATAGTTCAACTCGTGCAAATGGGCATTCTGTTTTTTGCTAAATCGATAGATATTACACATTATAAACAACTAAATTAACAAAAGGGAAACCTATTCAATATACGTTCCTTCGACGTGAGTGTCAATCAAGCACCGAGCCTTATATTCATTGTATAACCTAAATATTCACCGAGCCTTCAACATATTGCAGACGTCTTTTCCTGATGCAAATGCGAGGCGTCACGTTAGTCTCAGACATTCACTGTAGCATGTCTACTATTACAGACATGCTTATATGTAAATTTTTTAGAGTTTCGGGAAAAATTAATTTATTCTCACAAACATTTTCAAATAACTTAAGCCCTAAGTAAATCAATAAATAACTATTCAATCTGATGTTTTAAAGCTAATATATAGACTCGGGTGACGAATCAATTTATCAAATACACACGATATAACAAAATCACGTGATATTTCCTGCAAGAGCTGCAACGATAGCCAATGGATATGAGAGATAATATAATCTCGTTTCACTAGTCTGTACCATCTCCATATGTGGGAGTTCATCTATTAGCACATAAAGGGCACGTTTGTCTTCTTCTTCGCATAGCTGAACGGGACCCCGTTGTCTATGTCTGTTCGTGCACTAAAAATATTTTCATTGCACAAACGGTTGGCGTCCGTATTATCATTTGAAAAATATCTGGATTTATTTTTTCACTGTTGGATTAATCTATTTGTCCGATTTCGCAGACCCTCTCGTCTCTGTCTTTAAAACTCCTCGGCTCAAAGCTACATCTTTTACGCTTTTTTTCGAAATAATGCCGCTTTGTTCTAGTTGCCCTTAACTATATTTTAGTAATACAGCACATATTGTTCTATTGTTTTTTTCGTTTCAAGTAAACAGCGTACTTTTTTTGCTTGTTATGCTTGGGGTCAAATTATTGTTATATTTAATGTTTTCTCAAGTGCCTAATGCTATATATTGCGAAGTTAAAAAAAACTGAATTCATAGAATCCATCAATTAATTCTCAGTCTTTGGGTTTCTTTACTTTACTTTACATTATGGTTCCGATTATAATTTGTTGGACGACAAAATTTAGGCATATAGACGATACAACTTTTACTTTACAGCGGTAACTCAGGTTCTAATGACACTGCATTAGTTTAGGATCTGTATGTCCTGCTTATTTATTTCTGCATCGCTAAGGAAATATCAGATACGGGGGCTAACGAGGATATGTATTATTACTGGAAGGTAGCCTGCCGGGATTTTAGTTGAAGCCGTTGATCTATGAGATGAAAACGTGCTGATATTCTCATAGGCCTTACCAATCTGCGGAACATTGTGGTCATTCGACTCTAGCTTGTATTAATCATACCCACTAACACAAGATATAAGGCGTAGGGGAGTTAAGACAGCGACTCCCCTGCTTTTCTTTAGAGTCTTATACCCTATGATCCTCAGGCTAATACATACTATAGTCCTGAAACAATATCTTACATTTTGCCATTAAAGATATTTATTTATTCGCCCAGTTTTTCTGAATAGTCTCTTAATTTAGTCCATCTCGAATGCAACACATTCATATTGCATATCTTCTACTGACTCCGTAATATTTCTTAAACTTGAGGGATTCTCTATCAGTTCATCAGCCATTTTTTCCCTTTTGTCTATCTCTCTTAAAGTGTCTTTATTATATCTTACGTTTTCAATCTCCTATGCCCATTTTGCTCTGAAACGTCTGAAAAATGTTCTACAATGAATCATAGCGGTGTACGATAGAAAAATCATAACATTGATGGAAACGACCTTTTTCAGTTTTTTGCTGTCGTTCAGTTGTCGTTTGCTGTTGTTCAAAGAACAGAGACCGACGCGAATGTTTCCCCGGTAGTTCTGACGCCGTTTTATTGGAAACCTTTCGTTAGTTCGTTTTCTGGTTGTAATATTTCATCCAATCTGTGTTCAATGTAGGTTTGCTGGCTGCTGATTATCATTTTCTAAAAAATGGACGAACGCTACGCGATGCTCCTCGTTTTTAAATTAAAGCTAATATAAAAGCGCTTTCTCATTATTTTAGTGAGATCAAGGAAGTGCTTGAACATAAAAAAAAAGCACAAAGTATTACTGGAGTAAACGTAGTTGGCCGACGGTGACAAGACTTATGCTATTTTTTTTAACATATACATGCCACCTACATATATTGAGAACAGCTTGAGAAGTTTGAGTTTCGCAGGTTAAACGAGAAGATATCTTTGGGGTCATGTGATCTTTTTGATGGGATGGAGCGGCTCTTTGTGCAATAGCTTTCCGCTTTTTGCTAACAGACTTTTATATCATGAATCGACTCACACAAGATGCCTACGGTACTAGTTTACGCTTACTCCACGTATAAAGCTCTCCATAAAGTTCTCACTTTGTGAGCTTTACAATTAGAAAAAAATATTTAAAAAAAAAGAGCAAGAACATACATAGCTTCCTGAAAGAAGCAAGAATATAATAAATAAATCTATACGTAACAGCAATGGAAGAACTCTCTATGAACCATTTTGGACAAGGTCCACTATAACACTAGAGAGCTTCCGTTGATACAACTTCATCGAGTATTATCATGGTACCGGTTAAATCGTAGTTAAAATTTAATCTCATACTTCATCGAAAGCCTTTTTTAAACTAAAAAAAAAAAGACTCTGTCATCATTAAGGCTTGCTTTACCCAAGGTAATCGAAATGTCAGACTGCCGATAACTCAGCTTGAGCGTGCCGATTGATGAAATGATTCAGGAATCTCTTGTTCTCACAGAAGCTTTTCACTCGTTAGACCTGTTACGTCACTAGTGGAAATTACATGGCTGTGAGCAGCGTTGTTCAAGCCGCCTTAGCGGATCCGAGCTGCAGAAATAGCGGTTTTTTTAAGCTCCTTTCGATATGCTGATAGAAATTTTTAACAATCTTATATGCTGCCAGAGAAAATTTAGATTAACAGGCTCTTCTAGAATATAAAATATATTTTGAAAATATGTTTCTACGAAGTAAATGTTATTGTCGTTGTGATTATTATTGTTATAACTATTATTATATAGGTAGTATTTTTAGAACGAGAAAGTTCAGATGCTATGCAATGGTGATCGGGATTTTATTCTTATGATTATCGAACATATCAGAGATTTAACTCAGCACAGTGATTCTGGGCGTTTCGCGTTATTTCTACTATTAATCAGATGGAAATGTATGCAATTGCTGAACAGATACGCAGTCGTCTCACTTTTTTCAATTGTCCATTTAGTAGTGAACAAACATGTTGGAACCCTTTGACACAGGTAGAGCCCAATCAGTTTTCAAGCCAAAACTTTTCGTGTTGAGCCCGACAACTACCTTAATCTAGTTACTACCAACAATAAAGGCCTCGGACATCAACAACTCTGACGAATCCATAAAGAGTAAATAGATCATTCAGCTACTTACTACACATACCTTTCCCTGCATTGGGGAAAGCCGGAGGGTTCACGGTGCTATGATTTTCATCCTTGACTCACTGTATGATTATGAGCCAAGACAAATAGAACAAATGGAAAACGTTAGAGTGGATGTGTAGAGATGGCTGTGAGTGGCATCTGGCGATCTGACGCGAAAGCTTAAAGAAGGCAGAGAGCTCAGCGGTGCAATCCAATAAGTAAAGTGGGACAAGAGACGAAACAATTGATCAATTGGGCGAATCAGATCTTTGCGATGGAGCAAAGAAAAAAAAGCAGTATCGTTTGAGAAACGAAAATAGCCGTTACTACGCATACATTGACCTCCTTCGCTTACAGGCCAACCTTGATCTATATTTACGTCATCATATGAAACACTGGACAAATCTGGTAAATGTCCACGTGTGGTGTCAATGATAACTGTGGCAGATGCTATGTCAAACCAATAATCGTGTAAAAATTCCCGATTTTGTAACTCGACCTATCTATCACTAAGTTTCTTTGGCCTTTCTTGCCTTGTGCGTCTTATTTGTATGGGAAATGGTTATTCCCTACACTGCTTACAATAGAAAACAGATAATCTCAACTGTGAGCTTTTAGGTAACGTTTTATACAGCTGTTGGGCATTTTAATGAGCAAACTGGGCATGAGAATGAAAGGGTAGTTTTAATACCTGGAAAATCTGGTACGTTACTACTGATAAATGTCTCAGCTAATAAACTCCCAACATTGACGCCTAACAATAAATAAGTATGTAGCAATCCGTCTGAAAACGGAATCTTTTTTTTTTTCTTAGAAAAATTGAATAATAATTCTAACTGACATATACTCTACGCTATTCATGCTTTTTTGTGTCATACGCGTCGTCCTCTATCGCCATCCTCCGCTTTGCTCTGTTTCGTCTTTATTTGTAGTTTTTCAGCCGTCACGCAAACGCCCCTCCTTACAGCAGCCCTTCCCGGGCTTCTCCCGGCAGTGGGTGGCACCCCGACATCGGCGGCCGTCGCTGCAGTCACTCACGCAGCTCTGCGGCAAACACTTGCTTCGGCATCAGCAGCGGCGGCAGCGGCATCATCGTCACCTGTCAAACGGCAACGGACAGATAGTGCCGGAGCTGGACAGTTCGGTGTCGCCAGTGGAATTCAGGTCGGAGGTACAGGGCCTGGCAGCGGCGGAGGTAATCGCAAGAAACAAGGTGGCGGGGGCGGAGGAGGAGCCGGCGGCGGCGGGGCTGCTGGCGGTTGTGGGGCCAACGTTCTCAACGGAATTAAAAATGTACCAGCTAAAACGACCAGCTCGTTACACATACAACCAATTGCAGGTAAGACAATGCTCACAGCGTTCGTACATGACTGCTAGTTTCAGGTAGGTAGGTAGGTATGAGTAAAAGCCACTCTTGAAATGCAATGCCAGATCATTTGAGGTATTCGACATCTTGTTTGTTTATTTTACATATCGTGCAATAAATGCACGTAAAATAAATTTGTAAACAATAAGGGTGCATATAAATAGCCATTGAGATATTATATAGTGCAGTGACACCTAGGTTGCGTATTCGATGCGTTACTTATTTTACCTATAATTCTGCGCCTATAATATTAGGACGAAAAGTGTGCCGTCATAACCTGGCTGACATAAATTAAACTAGCTGGACTAGAATGATGATCTTTTAACATTCGTTATATGTACTCTCCTATATTTTTACATATTTGTGCCAGCGTTTTGGTAGTTTCTGGACAGACATGTACCTATCATTTGCATTTTCATATGTGATTTTTCTATTGATGGCCTTTCGAAGTAAATCGATAGCCCGCCAGCGAGCATGAAAAGTTCTCTAACCACGCAGAGGTATATCGGGAGAATAGACGAACTGGAGCCGACGTTGGATGCTCCTTTGCTCAATCCGGGAACAAATTACGCATGTGACGATAGGTTTTGTTTTTATCATCAAGTAAGCAAACTGCGTGCTTTCGATTGCCATGCAAACGGTTCAAGAGCTTCTTGAGGAACTCCAAGCTGCATTGAATTTTTCATGATGGGTGGGTATCCCAGAGTAGTAGATGCTTATCGTGTGCGAGTATTATTGCTACTCTACGTCCGACTATTCGGCACTGTCACCGAAGTCAAAAAGTTTTTCCAAGGCGACGCCATTCATTTGCCTAGTCCTTCTCGTGCCGGCCGTAATGACTGAAGCCATATCATTGGAAAATTCGTCTGGATACATTTTTGCATGTCAGCGGCTGGTGAAAAAAATTCAAAGTTGGGTTGACCCTGGTGTATTTCATATTTAAATCATTGATATTTTTTTATCATGGCCTCGTTTTGGAGATAGCTTTGAGGAACGATAGTATCTCTGTTCCCGAAAAAGACTTAGTGGTGGAAGCCTTCGATAATCAGCTAAGTATACAACTATTTACCGCAGCGCAGAGAAGTCGCGTGTAGACAGTTGATATCGATACTCTTTTTGTTCAGGCGTCTTTCACTATCTTTTTTATGTTAGGCTTTCTATTCAGCTTGTGTGTCTCTTTTCTCACACACTCTCTGTTTTCTATTTGTTTTCTTGTACTTTACCCTTAACCGACGTACCCGCTCTAAAAGATAGTTGGCCTTCAGCTTACTAATGCCACTAGCTTCAGTTTTTACTTCTCTCTCGTTCTGATGGGATTCATCGTTTTGCCACGGTGAGCGTCTTTTTTACTGCTGCTGCCATCATCGAATCGCGCCTATCGAATTGGCCGTGGTTTGGCTCAGTCCAGGCCGATGAGCTGGTAGGCATGGTCGCAGCATTGTGCCAGGCTTAGAAGGCAAATGCGATATCCTATTGACGGACGACTTGATTCTGCCCTTTCCAGCGGTAACGTAAACAACAAGGCGGTCATTCATTCAGCTGCAGGTGACAGCTGGAGAGCGTTTGTCTATTACGTCTGCCACAGTAACCGTCGCTGCCACTGATACCGCCATTAAGCACAGTCAATTGGTCACGATTTTAGGGCCTAATTTGTAGACTAGGTAAGACAATAGTTAAGTGAGGCTTTTACCAGCCCCGCTGGGCTGTCAGATGGGCTCATTAGATGAACACGTGCACAAATGCACTGGTCGATAAGCTTGTTTTCTAAACTGTCACAAATGCGCTGGTTCTACAAGAAATAGCGCTCCGATGAATTTCCCCGCCTAAGATGCAGTGATACATTGACGGATACCTGTTGCAAAAATACGCATGAGGCATAGAATTCAGTATTGACTACACGACAAGATCAAGGTGTCAGGAGACATCTGGAACAACATCATGGAACAACATGGAAAATCTAGTGATAGGGTTTCTGCAACGGAACGACGTTTATTGAAGCTATTTTTATTGAAGCTAGATTTTGTCAAATCAAAGCCTGCCTCATGCAGCTATTAGAAAAAATGATTTCATCGACACAGTTAGGGTGATAATGTCGGCGTCCCCTCCGCTGCAAAGGCTGTAGTTAACTCGCATTGAAGTCATCTCTAGTTAGTAAGAAGTACGTACCTCTGCTACTGCTAGTATATGTATACGAAAACATTCACTCCTGAACGAAGGCCATATCTACGTAAAGCAGACATGTTTCCTTCAGCTTACTCCTGCTCAACAGGTTTCTTCTTCTTCAGAGCCTTCTTTCTTTTGCAGGCGGTGCCCTTTTAGTTATGTGGGGGTTAAAAAATGGTTTTCACTTACTCAGTCTTGTGGTGGCTAGGGAGCTGCATTGAGGCAGATTTTCGCTCATATGCAGACCTCTTTTTGATACAGATTTATAGCGACGGATAGAGCTTGACAATCGTCAGCGAGCGTGTCAACTGTGAGGTTGATTCTGTGATGCTAGGCGAGGAGTTAGCGCAAATTACTATCTGAGTGCAAATCATTGTTTGGCTGCCTTTGCCAGTGTAGCTAAAGCTCCGCGAATTTTATTGTACCCCTCTAATTTACCAATATGGACTCAACATTGAAGAACGAATATCAAAGATGAAACCTAGCTGGCCGCGTTGACACTGAGGTATAGTGCTTGGGACAATTTAAGCTAGTTAGAAATGTTGTGCACTCTTTTATGTTTCTTTCCTTGATCAAATATATATTGACACTAATATATAACTAAGCTAGTCTATTTAGCTTTGAAGTCACTTACAAAATACAGACTTTTCAAATAAGAGCGTAAATAGGCGGAACGCATTATAGGTTTTAAATGACGCGCCAAGAGCTTACTCAGATTTTCCACAATATATTAATTAAACAAAATGTATTAATCTATTTTCTAGATTCCGACATCTTGATTTGCGGCACGTGTCGTGAGGTATTTCCATCGTTGCAGAAACTCGTCGAGCATAAAAGGCAACGGTGCAGACTGCGTTTCACCTGCAGGTGCCAGCCCAGTCAAATAACAGGTTAGTACAATAACATAAGGCTCTAATTGGTTTTAAAATATGCCTCTGCAGAGCTCAGATAAAGAGCCACTGCAGCTTGGGTTAGGCTGGCCGTTTGCTTGATATTATACTCATGTAGAGTAAATGTTTTTCTATACTGCCAGCAGCTGCTTCTGCTACGACCTGGAGGGAGTGAGCATATCAGAGTGTTTTACTATTGTTTAGAGTTCTACAGGCTTTATTATGCCGAATATCTGGCTTAAAGGGTTTATTGGTGTCGCCTATAAGTTCTAGTCTAAGCCCTGCTTTGATCAGCAGCTTATATTTCTTTTTTTTCTTTATATTATATCTGGGACGATTAGACATGCGACGGGGCCGATTGGCATGAACAACATCCTTATACGGAGTAATTAGTTCTATTCGATAGATCGTAGTATAAATACAGTAACCTCTGTACAGAACGTTCGAAAATGCAACAAAATTCAATGCTATAGGTTATAATGAGATTCATTCATACGGCGCTTGCAACGAGTGCAAAAGGTTATATATTGCGTTACTTTCTGAACAGTCTTCTATAGAAGGAGGTCATGTTTCAGAACAGAGCGTTTTATATTTAGTCTATATTACCAGTACTACTGCTACCGTCATTCACGTATTTTCTCAGGTTGTTTGTGTTCCTAAATGTACAAGAAGTACAATTCAACACGCATCTTTTACGCATCTGTATACGAACTATATTTATCGACTCGATGAGAGAGTGTAAACGAGCCAAGAAGAGAGAAAGCGGTAGAAAAGAAACGAGAGGGAAGACTTGACTAAAGCTGAGAAAGGCCGGTCGAGTGAACGGACTGCCGATACTCTGTAGGCCAAGAGATAGGGCGAGGTTCGACAACTGGAAGCTAAAATGACACGAACTCACTAACGGTTTACCAGGATTTTAGCGCGATGGAAAAGATACCCCATATTAACGCGTCGCTAGAGCAAGTGCCAGTTGCGTTATGCATGGGCCAGGACACCGTCGTACCTTTGGGAGGAGAGTAGATGGCCAAAAACCATGCGGTGTCCACGAAGCACTGCAAGCGATACAACTGAATCCAAGGTTCTCTAAATACATCAGGCAGATTGTTTCAGCTTATCCTATAAAGGAGGCCAGGCCAGACTAGAGTTCATCATAGATAGCTAAATTATTAAGCCGGAAGAAGCTTGCCATAAGTTTTAGTTAAGAGGACTCAGATCACACACATATTCTTAAATTCTGATACTGCTGAACGATTTATTAAATCACGGACTCATTAACTGTTAGCTTACAACTATAGCTGTACAACATCAAATATATGAAATGGCCACAATTTTTATGCAGGAAATCAGTAAAATGCAAAACTAAAGTTTTAAATAAACCGGTTTCTAACAGTTTCTGACAAGGCTGACCCCAATATAGACGTCTGTGCTCTAGAAATCGCTGGCCTTTTTGACTAAAGTGTGCGCAAATCCCGTTTATGGTTATCCGGTTTCATATTTGGATGTTTACCATGGCACTATAAAGCTGCGGTCAGGCATCGTTCGCGAAAAAAATTTTGGTTTTGCGTCACTGCATTAACTTACTGTGGCTAATCTATCTTTTAACGAATACCTCAAAGGGACTGGACTATTAGGTTTGTCGCTTAATTTGGAGGAATTGTCTCCCCGTCGTTTTTCTAAAGGCGTCCTATCTTGGTTACTGCAGTGGTATTATTATTACAAGCCAATTTTGCATAAGTTGCGGGGTTGAATATGGAGGTTTGCGCAAAATTACTTCTACGGTGATCTTTCTGGCAAAGAAAACATTTTCACACCGAGGAGTTTATAGACAGTGCCGAAGGGATATATGTTTGGAAAGGGCGGGCCTACGGATCAAGCTCGTGTACCTCACCAATTCCCTAATGATGTATTAAGAAACCCAGGAGCAGGGAAGTGTACAGCATCCCAGGTCAAAAGTGGGCCGACCAAAATGTTTGTTTTTTATTCTGTGGTAATGCTGCATACTAGTGAATAGTCGTATATGCGTATTGCAGATAGAATAACGACACCAAGCTTTAATCTGTGAGTGACTTATGAGCAGTGCGCGCTTTTATTCAATTTGCGTCTCCTAATAATTACAGTACGAGTATCGGACTATTCTTAATTCCTAGCGTCCAAAGATATATTTTAGGGACATTTTTATATCATATATGAACATTTTGTTATTACCTCAAAATGAGACACACGATTTTCGCTAATTTTTTCTGTATCAATCAAGCGTCGGTGGCAATAGTCTTCTACGCACGAATACGCACCTTTATCTTTTTAAATATTAGAGAGACTAGCCATAGGACAATAATAATAATAATACAAGCGTTCCGCGGGAAACTGTGCGTTGACCCAATTTTTTTCAATAGATTTACTGTTTTTATATAGTAACGACATGTGTTAAGGTGCTGTTGAAACTCCGTATTGTCGAAATAGAACTCATCCAGTTTCTGCTGCTGAACATTTTTTAGCACGTCTCTGAGCCACAAAAAATGTTTGATGCCCTCTTCTAGTCAGAGTGCGCACCCTACGTTTATCTTTGCCTCATAAAATGTCAGTCGTAAATGATATCAGCGTTCTTTTATGCCCTTATACGGCACCTGTTTTTGCCCACTGCTCCATCTAGAGAAATGTGCCTTATTTGAAATTATTTTCTTTACAAAATACAAATATAACTGGAACTGCTCTTTGGCCCATTTAGCAAGGTGCATAGATAAAGGGTTTGACTTCCCGGGTTAACTAAATTTGATAGAATTGAACAGTCGAGGTCTTTGTGCAGCACGAGCCAGAGACTGCCTAGCGCACGACAAGCCTAACTATTGCGATCGGAGAAAAATGAGAATGCCCTTCACAAATCCTTAATAGTAAGTACTTTATTCATGCGGAACCTTTGAAAATGCCTGAAACTCAAGACCAAGTCGGTTGAAGCTACTCCTCAAAACGACGCGGGGAAAGCTCTGAGAATGCCAAACGCTGAGATTTAGAGAAGTCGTTTTATGTGAAAAAAAAAACAAATAAAACCGATTAATTCATTGTTTTGTTGTTGAATTGTTTGATCAAACGGTATTCTTTGCAGGTTCTTGTAAACGGTGTCTCTTTTACAACAATGTAGTGCAAACGTTTGAGTTACACTGACATGTTAAGTATAGACAATCCGACATGTTAAAGCAACTTGTGCTTAGTGTTTGCTTAGTGGTAATAAGCTCGAGCTTTTTCGCAGCTGAATTAAAGAATTATTACTGGGGCAGTCATGCAGTTTAAATTGGAAAAGTTTTTAAATACGCTTTCCACTTACGTTACCTTTGGCTAGGAGCATCGAAAGCCTGGCGAATGAAGCTTGAGATTCGAGAGCTAATGCAATCGACCAAAGAAATTGGGTAGAGCAAGATGGAGTCCACTCATCTGCGTTGTCGAGGTAGACAATTCCCTTATGCTATCCGTTGTGCAAATATAACATGACACGAACCACCTGCTCTGTAGGACTGCGTTTCCCCGTGAGGGAAAGTGCAATAATCTGTTATGAAGCGGGTAGCTGGTCAGCATACACCAGCTAATACTTATCTCATACGCACTTTTCTCTGATACTTCTTCAATACTCTTGTCCTCACAAAAACCCACATCACCCAAATATCTAAGACGTGGATTGAAACAACTGTCGAATTATATACAGCATTTCTATGAAATAAATTCTATAAATACTGCTTCATCGGACTTCCTGACAGAAAAAATCTAATAGACTCCGCGCATAACTGGATGTTATAGGTGACAGCCCAGACTGTCCGGCCCCTGTGTGTGCTCAATGCCTTTACCGATGCGCCTCGTGGTGGCAGTTGGTCTGCCACATGGAATCCACACATGGCCTCATTCTTTACCAGCATACGAGCGCTACAGCTCAGCAACAACTTCAACAGCAGCAGCAGCAGCAGCAGCAAATAGTTCAGCAGCATTCACAACAGTTACTTAACAACAACAATAACAACATTACTAGTAATAACAACAACGATCTCTACAATGCTAATGAGGTGAGTAGTAACGTGATCGATATGCCACGGAGTTTGTGCCGTTTATATGTATGTTATTTACATTTTATTAGTTGCTTGACTTGGATGTATCGAATATACTTTCAAAAAAAAGGGAATAGCTATACATAGAGCTGTAAGGTAGCTGATGATAACCGTGCGTCAAAAGGACAGTGAAAAGAGTTGAATATGGAATCATTGTAGGACAACGATAGGAACGCAGCAGTTTTTCATTTAGCGTCATCCGAAACGTGAACTGGCATAACGGCGTTTTACGACCCTGTCCATTGAAAACGAATCAATCAACTAAGCAGAATCTTTTACGTTAAGGATAAAAAAAAGAATATCTAAGTACACTTTATTAGAAATCTAGCGTTATCTAATCTTATTCTCCATATACATCTGCATATGATTTTTCGATATAGGAAACTGTCTGCAGGATGAAGCAATATTTGGCTTATTCCGATTTTATGCCAAGGTTTCTCCTGGCCGTTTTTAGTAATCGTTGGCACACTATAGGGGGCGTTTAGGTCTACAACACATACGTGAGGAATACATCCTGCCTTGTACATACATGTACTTGTATATATCATATGCTTTAAATCAGCCACCCAAATTGGTATCGTCAGCAGCGTGTGTGTTTTCGATATTGACTTAAAACATTTGCAGGTCTGTCTTGTTGTCTAGTGACAGTCGACTAAAGTCATGTCACTCTACCGTGTGGGTTAATTGCAAAAATGTTTGTAGTAATTGGTCGTTACAAATCCCCTCCGCTGACTCAACCATTGTGGGAACCGAAAAATCATAAATGTATTGGATACATAAAAGAATAGGCAAAACTGGGGGGGGGGGGGGGAACAACTCAAATTCTGTTGTACATAGACGCAGGCTACGTCTGCAACTCGCGATGGCAATCGGTCGAAATGATGCCAAAATCGGAGTCGAAATCGGAGTTGGCAGAATCGTCGTTTTGTCCGCATGATCTATTAGACGACTTTGCCTAGTTTCAAAGTAATTTGCGGTAAATACCTTGCTGCGGCACCAACTTTCAGTAGTTCTTTGGCTAACTCATACGATACTTAGAAAGGGTACGAATGTCAACATCAAAGAGGACGCAAAAGCTAATCGTTTTAAAAGGAAAATTTATTTTCACAAAGTTCAGTCCACTTTTTGTATAGCGTCATATAAAACACCGGGTGATACAAGGAACTGTCATTACGAACACGTGGTGCTGATATTCACAGTATCTACTTACTTTTATCTACGGCCAAAATTGCTTACTGTGTCTTTACTCAGTGCATATTGCAAAGTCATTGTTCAACACTCGGTCGCACTCCAATCAATTTAAGCATCGCTGATAATTATTGGCGTATTGATATTGTAGATAAGAAAAGCGGTCCGTAAATTCGTTGCTGAATCTTCAAATGAAGTGCGCTTTTCTATGTAGTAACAGTATCCTTCAAAATTGTCATGCCATACAGCTTCGGTAGATAAAAGCGTGATACTATTTAACGTTGAGTTCGGCTCTATTCGAATCGGTGAGCATGAAAAACAGATTTATTGGCAATAGAGTCTTTGCATCAGACACGCAAGCATTGACCAGCCAATGGATCACTTACAATAAGCCCTAGCAGAATATACGAAGGAAAACTGTCTTGTCTTCCTTCCTGACGTCTTCCATGAGAGCCTGTCTCGAAGGCAATAGCGGCTGGAGATTAGTAGATTAGAGTAACTTCCGCTAATACCTTGCCATACGTTACTGTTCGAACTTCGCCCAGACGGTTGAAAAGAACCCTCACGGACGTTCCCTTCTACTACCATCACCCAATCGAACTCATCGACCCGTAATGCATTTTTAAGCTGCGTCAGTCACACCCATAAAATCAATCAAAGCGTCAGTCTGGAAACCGTACAGCGGCATTAGACACTCTGCCGTCTCTCCCTCAGTGTCAGAAGGGATTATCATAACGCTGATTACAGATGTCAGCTTCGCTAGCAATAGTGAAGACCTAGTATAAAACCGAATACTTTAGGTAGAAGGCGTGTAAAAGCCACACGAACTTCAGTATAATTTTTGTGCATTTATAGACTGACCTTGCTTAGCGTTACTGTAGTTGTTAACAAAATTCACACTTACTAAGCCAAGGCGTGGCACTGACGAATACCTTCGTATACTCCTGTAAGACCTGCTCTACTCATTGTGCTATACTGCGTTATAATAGCAGGCTCTAATGCATCGTAATACATTATACAGTACTTATATGCCATAGTGGTGCATATTATATATTTTAAATATCGTGATTAGGCTCTTGCGTCGTGCAGTGTCTGACCTATGTTTATTGCACTAATTTTATTAATCATATACGTAGCAATAATAGCTGTCAGCCTGCAGGGCGAAGTGGCAAAGGGATATGAAACGGAGAAGGCTGGGCGACAATAAACAATGAGTAGCTGGTGGAGAAGACAGAAGATGGCAATGGTCACCGTTGCCAAGGGGCGGATGTTATGTACAGGACTGTGTACAGGGGAGGTGCAATGCACGCTCCAACGGTCTGAAAAGAAGGAAAGAAATCATTCGCCGGACTTAGTGCTCCTTTGCGGCCATTGCAGTAGTAGTGAAAGGGCTTAGACAAGTTCTACCGGTCTCACCTTAAGACCTGCAAGATTTAAGCAGCTCAAGGTAACCTCCTTTTCCTTAGACCAAATTTGCCACGTGCATGGCTGGGAAAGGACGACGTTGTTAGCATCGGCAGTCGGGCTACACTCGCTAGATGACGCTGGAAAAAGGCTCGTAAGCCCCAAAAATCCAAGTAACCACTAGCGGGCCATATAAAACACTTTCGTCCGATACTGTTTAGAAGAACGTAAACATAACATTATCACTGCCGTGGCCGTTGCTGTTGTCATAGCAATGGTAACAGCCATAGTCACAGCAGGCGGCTTATTTATGCGCGGCAACAAATCGACTATGTATAGGCAAAAGTACGAACCATGATAGAAAAACACGCCAATAGTTAAGCTATCCAAGATTTTGTTATGTACAACAAAGTGTTACATTTTACACACTCTTGATAGGTAGCCAGAAAGTAATCCAGCTATACAAAGGCTTCTTCCATGAGGAGATGCAATTGGCAGCTGTCAGTGCAGCAGGCATTAATCTGAATCATCTAGAAGCATTTTTAATCGATGCTTATATATACGGTGCTACACCAAATTGCAATCTTCGAGGAATCATAGAAAACGCCACAAGGTAGAATCCCTCCGCGTTTCTTTGCGAGACAGCCAGGAGAAGTGTAGCAAAGGAGCAGAAGAGAAAACTGATACTGCAGCAGGCACTGCTGTTGCTGTTGAAGACTTAACGGAGTTTCTCTTCGTATGCTGCGAAGATGTTGGCCGGATGTAGTCAGGCACAAACTTCCAAGGACCCAAGACCTGGTTTCACGTCATGCAACAGGATGGTCCATGCGTCGCTACAACTCCAGACTTCTGGTTGCTGTCAGTAGGATGAAGGACAAGCGCCTTATCGGCACACCACGTAGCGTATTAGCCTGCCGGCGCCAGTTACGGATTAGCCGGTTCGGTAGCCTCATACATATAGTCACATCACGGGTGCACGACCAACTCTGGATGGCTCATAATACCCCCCGGGCTAACAAAGTTGTATAGATTTCTATCTTGTGCTTTCCGAAGGTTCAAAGAGTCAAGCAGTGCGATACTACCTTATAGGTGATAATAGATAGAAATGGCTTAGAACGTTTGGAGTTCTAATTACTGCTTAATATGGGCAACAACACTGCCCCCACTGAAGTCGACCATTTGCGTATTTATATCTATATGCTATAGCGACAAATTAATATCTTTATCCCTGTATGCGCGCTATACATCAGGTAAGGCGATGGCGGATCATATTTCTGGCCTTCCTAATTAAGATCGTTAATAGAAGTGGAACTAGTTTAGTAACAGTTTGCTTGATGATTCTTTTCAGACAGCCCTGTTTAATAATTTTAGGACGAAATAATGTCTCTCCTTATATAACCGCATATATATATATATATATGCGGTTCGCCGTTTACCAAAATGTCGTGGTTAGTCAGCATTTAGCCTTGCGTGTGGTATTACGGTCAGTAGAAATATGCTTTACGTATACATTTTAGCAGCATTTTTCAGATGGGAGTAATCACAACGTGAACGTCAATTATTTCATGTTATGGATCTCCTTTGGGTTAATTTTTACAGAGCGAAGACGGTGATGCTTTGTCTGGAGCATGTCGGGGTTCCCATCATGAGGATCAACTCAGCGAAGAGGGATCCGATCTTGGAGGCGTACTGTTACATCAACAGCAACAGTCCCAGCAGTCATCGTGCACGAGCTCAAACATCTGCAGCGGTGGTATACAAACCTCGAATCCTAGCATAACTGTGTCTGGCAAATGCAGCTCTAACAACCTCGTCAATAGCAGCCATATCTTAAATAACGTAGCCAAAAATTCTCATCATCAGTTGTTGCTCACCACCAACAACAACAACAACAACAACAACAACAACAACAACAACAACAACAACAACAACAACAACAATAACAACGATAATATGAGCGACAGTCACGCAGTGGATACCGTACTTGTAAGTGATAGAAATTTATATATATTAAGTTTCTTTGGACAGGTAAAACCTGGGATTAATTAGGCCAATTTTATGCTATTAATAGTATTTTGTAGGTTTACTAAGTAGCATAACTATTTACCTTGAAAAAATATTACATCATCCGTTCCTTAAATGTAGAAAACAAAGACAGCTGCGTGTGTATTCGAACAATAAAACTGTTATTACTATTACTTAAATTTTGGCCAATGACACGTGAGAAACGTAAGGATCTACAAGGATGCCTATTACGCAGGCTCATTAAAACGCTATCAAAGATGAGAATGGCTTGTGCGTCTGGCCTAGCAACCGAGTCCTTCTCGTAAGCCTGAGCATTTGGTTTTCAATGAAAGCAAACTATCATAATGGAGTCAAGAGCATGCGTATAGGGTAGAAAATAGGCGTCGACTTTGGAATAAGTAAAGAATACGATAAGATTCTAAAAAGCCAACTTTGCTAGTTTGACAATTGTAGCACGGAAGAGATGAACAAGGATTGAATTCGACCTGATAGCATCCCTTCTGAGATTTTTCAATACGCGTCAAATTAAAGTACTGCATTGCAAGCCGCTGAAGGCTGTTCCATGGCAATCACGTCGCTCGACTTGTATCAAGGACCCGTCAGAAGACACTAGAGAAACAGGACCTTAAATGGAATCCAAGAAGACACCCGTGACAAACAACAAACTCTTTGCTTGTTCAGGCCCGATCCGTGTTGAGCTTTAAGCCTTTAGCTATAACTATATGTATAGTTCTAACTATTCGGAATACGCCATGATCGAAAATATCTAATGTGGAAAAAAAATGTTCCGAAGGTACTTTGTAACAGGTTCTGATTGTTACAAGCCTAGCATAATTGATTCTGAGTGTGTCCTATGACTTTTGCTGTAGTCTTGAAGACAGTTATACGGCATTCCATCCAACTTTAAAAGCAAACTGCACGCATAATTTAAAGGGAACAATTATTAATACTGAAATATATATGCTAATAAGACTTCCGCATTTCGTAATTTGTCAAAAAAAAACATCCTTTTAAAAACGAATATAAAATTTGTTTATGTGACAGTCAACGAATCCTATAATCGATCGATTCATGAATTATCAGTCAGCCTAGGTGTTTCTGTAACACTAACAGAAGGTGCCATAGCCAAGTGTATGGGTCTAATTCCTTAAGCAGATGACAACTCTGTTTGCAGGAAAAGCAGACATCCGCAAGCGACACAGGATCCTGTGAGCAAGTCATGGACTCATTGCCCCATCTCGAGCTCGCTGAACTGAAGGATGCAACTGAACTTGGCGAATCGTGAGTCCTCGTCGCTCTGAAAACATTGCGTAGGACCAAAAGAAGAATCGCTAACTTGAGCTTGAAAACAAGCGTCAGCTCAGCAAATCCACGAAGCGATCAGTTGTAATCTGTCAACGTTGTCAAGAACGAACAACAGCGAATGTCGATTGCCAACCGAAATTTCCGCGTAACAAAGTGACGTTTTATGGGCACAGGAACCTTAAACAGTTTGCTTCGTTCGTAAGTGGTAGATACAATGGAAAAATGATCGGGCGGATAAGAAGTCGGCACCGTCAGATAGTAGAAGAAAAAATATGTACCAACAAGATGCCTTACATTTTTGTTGGTTGCACGAAACATAAAATAATTTTTTTTTGTTTATCAGAAAAACAAATATACGCCTCAAAAATAGTACATTTAATATATGGATACATATATTTAAAAGTGGTTTGTGTATTGCCTGAAATTGCAGCATGTTGCCTAGTACTAGGCGAGGTCTCAAGCAAATAGTAAATAGCTTTGTTAAAATATTATAATAAATACATATAATATTCATTATTGACATTATATGATAATTGACATTATTATTAGGGAACAAAGAGGTAGTCTTGTCAACAGAGGTGGAATTATGTTACTTGTCCACATCTGTTCCTCTTTATCGTTGTACATATTAAAATGTAATGAAAGGGAAAGCTGCCAGTGATGTGGTAGTTGACGGTTGCCGAAGGCCCCATTTTATCATTGCTAAACACAACCGTAGAAGCGGCCTGACCACAGTGCAATTGCCTGAATCAACACGCGGCGACGTATTATAACAGTGGTTGCCCAGTCGGTACCTCACTTACTACTACATGTTATTATTTGAACTTAAAATTAAGAAAGGGAGCTTTTTTTTTATTACGAAGAGAATAAAAACTAAAACAACTAATATCAAACAGGATATGATACGAAAGGCGATACTACGAGACTGTCGGGGATTGGCTAGGCCTACTGTCTTTTCCCCGCTTATCCGTACGCTACCTTAAAATGGTAAACCTTGACAAAATGCCACTAACGTAAGAAATAATGCATGCAAAAGGCGGTATTTGTTCGAAAAAGCATCTAAGAAATATCACTAAACTAAGATGGATTCTTTACGCAATGCGACATGTTGACCAATGCTGTAGTTAGACAGAAAGCGAATAAAAGGACAGTCGCGAAGAAAATAACTATTCATGCTATCTAAATAAAAAAAATAATAAGGATATTCTAGTCTAGGTAAACGTCATAAAAATATATTATTATATGTACGTAATAAGGAAATGATTCATACAAATGATCCAGTCGTATAGTCGCAATAAAATAAAGTGGTTTCAATATAGATAGCAATTATATCTGAGATTGCATGGCACTCAAGCAGCTATCAATCGAATGTACTTGTCAGCAAGGTCATGCACTGACCATTTGGGCACCCGGTATATGTTTATTGGCCGTGCGCAAATTTTCGTCTAGCCTAAATCACTATATAATCCGTTATTCTCAGTTGACTGTAGTGAAAACTTATCATACGCTCAACTGCTCCCACATGATGATATATAAAAATGTCGCTAGCTTACAGATTTCTAGATTTTATTTGGCATTTCTACACAAAGTCTTTGGCAATTGACTTGGATTCGCACGGACTGACTATATGCAATAGCGAGCAATATTTCGCCAACGGTCGAAACAAACAGCTAACTTAAACAAAAAAACATGATCATGTCTTCCATGTGCAGCATATCAGCTTTCGACAGCCATAACACACACAAACACACACATAAATAATGATGATAATTACCATACAAATAAACAGATGAATATCTAATAACTACAAAATATAATCGTAAAGCAACCGCAATAAAAATGCACTAGAATGTATCTCCTAAAAAAAAATAATAAACGTATGTTTTTATTTTAAACCTTTGTGAGCCGATCACTTTTCGGTAGAGACAACAATACCTGCTCACATCGTGAACGCCATCTCTAAAAACGCTCTCTTATATTTATAACGTGACAGCTAATATAGATAGTTTATTTAAGTTCTATTTATAGTCTGTCATCAACACGAAAGTTGCTAGAGAGTTCTGTAGAGCGAGTATTTTAATTCTCATGTGTTTATTAGCAGACCAGTTCTCGTCGATATATTTTTTAAGCAGCTAACGAGAAGAGCGGTATTTATAGAAAAGTTCAACTACTTGAGGAACCCAACCGTATGAGTTCAACTGTACTGTCGCAGTATCTAAATAGCCAATCTTAACATTGGCAACCTTCAATCCTAAAAAGAATGTAACTCTTCCTACCTCGTTATCAAAACATATAGCACGGTTTGGTTTTATTGAGTGCACTGTAGCAGTCATTTATTAGTACATTTTATGTAGACACACTTGTGGGGAGCCTAAGGATGACGGCCTAACAATACGAGCTTTAATTATCCATAATAATTGCTTCTAGTTAGAAGCACCAGCTAAGATGCTTTGCGGAAAATTGGGGCATATTGACAAATACCTGACCAGCATCATTCTAGTTATAGGAGGGGGAAGTCGGCAAATGCGAACGTCTTGTAGATCTATTTGGATCATATTTTGCGGTCTCTGCTCACTTGCGGCTGCTCTGCTTGCCCCTACGATGTCCATACATATTCAATGTGAGCCGTCAAATAAATGACCCATGAGGTGCCGACTGACACAAAGCAAAACAGAGAGAACGCTATGATCGACAACAACCGCGCTTAGCTATCATTGGATGCAGCGTAAGCTAAAGATGAGAGTCAGCAATGGTCGAGCTTCTTCTTGGTCGTGACAGATGCGAACCTTGCTGGGAGGGTTCTTGGAATAGTGGTCAAGCGTAGATTAAAGCGAGTATCTTGTTTCCTGCCTCGTCGTACCAAGAGGCAGACGGGCTGCGCAATGACGAAGAGTTGCGTGCGAGTAAGGTGCGCTGCCGCGAGTACACATGGTTCGAAAATAGCACCTAGATCATCCGACGGGGTGGTGTGGTCAGTTCCGTTGACTGTGATACAGACAGTACGACGTGCATGATTGCGAGCACACACGCTTATGAAAAAGCTAGAGCGTTGATGCTTGTCGCCGTTCTACAGCTAGCCGCTGTGTGCATGCCTATGTATCCATATGTGCGCGGCTGCAGTAGCTGCCGGGCCAACCCGACCGCTGCACTTGGCCACGGCTATTCGTCGAATGCCATCAGCACTGCCGTTACACCATTAGTAGACCAACCCATTGCGCTCTTCTGCCGTGTTTGCTGCTGCTGTTGTTATCATTGTTGCTGTCCTAGACCCACAGACGATCTTAGTAGGCGCGACTACAGCTGCGGCAATGGCGGTGGCTACCTTTGTTCAGTGTGCATCGTCCAACGACCTCCCAGATGGCTGAACAAAGAGGGTAGGCAGTAGAGGAGGAAAAGGAAAACGACGGCGAACAAGAAAGACAGCAACAGCAGAAGTAGGAGATGCTGTGGCAGGCCTCGTTGCTTCAGCATGAGAGCTCTTATGAGAGATAATCGAGCAGTATGGTCAGTGGCATCAGCATTAAGTGCTAATCATATATTAAGCACCAAAACAGAAAACCAGAGCCAAGGAACTAGAGCCTTGTCAGCGGGCTTACGCCCTTCAGGCCCGCTGAACTTCGGATTAAGGCGCGTTGTCTGGAAATGCATGTTCCAGCTAGTAGCTGAGTTGGGAGTGTTTGGTCTCTAAGATGAAACGTTTGTTTTCGAGAAGAACTACTGAAAGGTAACATTGCCTTCCGGATGTACTAAAAGATTTCGCAGATAGTATGGAACGTATACAGTCATAAGGCATTTATAAAAAAGAAGGCTAAGCAGATTTGCATAAAATATACATAGAAGGTTAGAAAACAAAAAACGTATACACCTCATTGTATTTAGAAACAAAAGTTTGTGTGCGTCCTTAACGATATCAGCAAGCAGTCATCTTACGAATAGTGTAAACATATAAAGAAGTTCCGCCAACGACTCATAAGCACTATTTAACTTCTGTGTGTAATATTGTGAAAACGATAAAATGACGTTACTGTTTAAAAATAATAATATGACTGCATAAGTTTGCAGGTTGTCATACTGAGCGACATGTGTAGACAGACACCCACGAAGTTACTTTAACTATTAGATAATAGACTAAGATACGCGTGTGTGAAAAACGCAAAGCGACTCCCACAATCCGCATAGTCTCCACATACGCTATAGCGAATCTTTTGTCCCTTTTATCTAAATACACTAAATAAAAGTACCTGAGGCCGGGGTCCGGCTGTGTTCCTCCAAGAAAAGTAATTATCATTGTTATTCTAAATAGTTAGGTCGGTAATCATTGTGGCGTGGATATGAAGCTTCGCTAGCTCTAAGATAATCGGGATGAAAAGAACCAACAAGCAAGCAAGAAAGATCTAGCTCTACTTCGTGCAGGACGGTTCCATTTGTCTAAAAAGTTGCTTTTCCTAAAGTAACTTCTAGTACTAGTATGACTAACCTTTTACATTGTTTCGTGTTTTATGTTTAATAACTTAGCCATACTTCATACGATTACCTCGCAGCACAAAACGAATTACGATCACACCCGGATTCGAACACATACCACCACACGTCTAGAGTACAGTACACAAATACGCCACGCATGGGAACTGACGAGCGTTTTAGCTCTGCGTAAGTAATATTATATGTATTTAGCAGTAAACGAGGCGAGGGGCAAAGCCGAAAAGTGGCGCTCACATAATTACAAGGTTCAGATTGATAGCATTTAATCGTTAATGTTGGTTGACGGGGACACTTTATGAAAGCAAATTTTGCGCTAATGTTTGTTTACCTAGGCGAGATACTTTTATGTTTTTTAAATAAACGAGACATATGACGCTCACCTTCAATGTTGAAGTACTGTGATGCTTAACTATGCTCAATAACTTAAACAGTCAAATAAACTGAATGGAACATTGTAGAGTCTAATAGCCTATCAATCTCTACGTGAGTTCTATAGCAGTCTAGTGCTGCTCTTATTTGAAGTTCAACCCTCTTGTGATATTAATTTATGAGATATATCGAATAGTTGGATTTTTACTATAATTGGAATATAAATATGTCTAATTCATAGATATTGAATTGCTTCGTACTGCAATTTTTAGTAATGAGCATCCAAAGCAGGCATGATGCAAATTGTTCACCCTCGTAGGAAGCAGAAATCACAAAAGAAAATGTGTACTCAGGATTTCAAGCCCAGACCACACAGTAATTTTTTAATTTATTCATATGAGAAAAAAGGAAACGCTAAACGCTTATTATATATATAACGTGTATAACAACGTTTACACAAATCTATGACTGAAATAGGCTTTTAGCGAGCCTCGTAAATTGTTCAGTGCGATTGTGTGCTGACTAGACCTAGCATTGAAAATTTTCTTTCACAGAGCTGCTGTAATAAGTCCATAAGCTGCGCCTAGATATCGGTAGCATGTGATAGACGGAGCTTGGAGTCCACCTATTGAGAGAGATTCACGAAGGCTTAGCGATATTATGGTTCAGTATGTAAGTTCCTTTATCGACTCAGCATTGACGCTGAGTAATAATAATTCTAAATGAATAATGATAATTCGAAAAACATGTTACCTTAAGGATATAGAAGGCTTTGATGTCAGCTACAATGATCAAGGACCTGCAGATGCTCTCACTAAAAATAACTCTGGTCTATTTCGGCCTGAAAGCATTCTCTTGTACGCCGTATGAAATACCGCTAATCTGGCAGAACCTCAAGGCCAATCAACTGTGTGACCTAGTCTAAAACGCGTCCTGGGGCTCCATACGGCAGTCAATAGTAGCTTTCTCTATTTGCATAGCACTGTTTGTAGAAAAGCCAGGGAGAGGGATTGAACTACCTGGCATAGAAGCTTACAAATAATTTAACTGCTAAGTCGAACTCAGAATTAGCTATACGGGCGCGGACTTTAGGCTAAGCGAAGCGACGATAAACTCTGCCTTGTAAGATAACGGCAGATGACAATGTTCTACGTGCAGTCTCTTTCCTGTCCATACACACGTAAAAAGCATTCCCCTTTACTTAAAAAAAAACTCTTTATTTACTGTCAAAGGCTATATATACAATACGCACCTATCTAATGGTTTCAGGAAGCTTTTATTTTTATTACCACCCGAAAATAGCTTGTGCATAAGTTAACATTATTGTATAAGACGCAGCAACCTTGATCCGCTGTTATTTGGTTTTATGTTTTCAGGCAAAACTGTTCTTAATGCATAAGCGTTTGATTTTTAGATTAATTCACACAAAAACGTAAAATTCTACTAATGGCTTTAAGCCAAGGTTTTGTAGGATCCCATGCTGAATCTATATTCAACTAATTAAGAAAGCTAGCAATTGGCATTATTTGATCTAATAAGGGATAAATCACTTCTAAATAATTTCGCTTGGAAAATGAAGCTGACGAAAACATAGGGAAACACCTAGGAAAGGATTCCACTGTCTTAAACAACTTCATGGCAAGGCCCCGCACTAGGAGTTTCTTATTAATTATTAAATATTAACCCTTTTGTTTACCCGCTCTGCTGTCCTGTCATTTTTCCTTTCCGAAAATAAAGTGAACATAAAAAGTAGAACATTTGGCATTCTAGCAGAAATTCAATTAAAAATTAGGCAAGACAAAATATCGAATTCGTTAAAAATTGATAAAATGAGATATATGTGTATTGGGTTCTAAGATCATTTTAAGTTACGCTAAATTAATTATGTCATTAGATTTATATACCTAGCTATATGCTAAAGATCTTGGAATTTACTAATTATCTCATGGACATCCAGATTACATGCCATTATAGATATTATTGCTTTAAGTAGATACATGGAGATCATGAGCATATATCCCGATTTTGGGAAAAAAATTTTTTTAAAAAGCTTTTTTGAGAGCTACATGACTGCGTGTTTCGATTCAGGCTTTATGCCTGTCATTACCACAGCTTTCAAGCTACTGCTTTTAAGATAATACAGATTCAATACTTGGCTCGACAGCACTCCTGGTGGCTCAAGTCGTTGCTTTAGCCAATAATATAAAAATACTTTTTACTATTTAATTTTTTTTACAATGTAATTTTTTTTATATACAAGATAGAGACGAAGAGTAATTTCACTCTCTCTCTCTCTCTCTCTGTCTCTCTCTTTCTCTCTGTCTCTCTCTTTCTCTCTCTCTCTCTCTGTCTCTCTCTTTCTCTCTCTCTCTTTCTCTCTCTCTTGTATATATACATATTTGCGCTATGTATCAGACCGCTCATATCGTATGGCTCGTCCAAAATCATTCACTATAAAATTTCACATATTAAGTAGACAGATAAGAAAATGCAAATTTAAGACATATATACAATACACTTATAAGTACATATTTTACTTCCCTGGCCGAAGTTTAGGGTAACATGTTTGATGGCCTACTATCGGTCAAAGGTTGACACAGACTTTTGCCATCACAGCCTTTTGTATTCTTCAACGTAGTTTAATAAACTTTATTACATTTACATTTATATATATATATATATATATATATATATATCTTTTTTAATTCAGAGACATTCTATAGTGTTTAATGCCTGTTTATGAACCGTTAGATTGGTGTCGGTTCACTCAAAAGATACCTCCCTATTACTTTTTATTATTAGGAATTATTGGGTATAGGGTCAAGTCATTACTTCTCTAAACCGCTATGGTTCAAGGCTGTTCAAGGCGAGAGAAACACTAACAGAACTCAATATAGAATAATGGGTCGACAAGAAAAGCTCCCATTTTCCAAGTACTGCTCATTTTAAAAACAGGCGAGCCTCTTGTAGTCAAGATAGTTTTTTTTTACTTTCCGTTTTTATCTGTTTTTGCCTGCTCGGGCGTAGATTTATGCCAAAAAAGGAGACAATTATTGTATTCCTTCTTTGAATTGTCCAACTTCAGATAGTCATTTTGTAAAGCGAGGTCAGGATCGTTTGGTGAAGTCTCAGATTTAGAGTTTGTGGGTATGGAACTTCAGGATCCAGCAGAAAAAGCCACTGTTATACCGATTTCAGATATAGACCTCTTGAAAAATTGTTTTTTAATCAAAAAAAAAAAAACTGAAACACGTATTACGTAAAGCAGAATAACTATTTGGTTTTTGTCTTTTAAAGAATAATGATATTCTGACATTGTGCTAGTACCTTAAAATAGTTTTAAAGTAGATGCATGGCTATGTGCACAATAAGCGGCATGGATATAGTAGGTATAAACTAGAAGAGCTTTCAAAGTGGACATAACGTTCAAAGAGGGAAATTACCTAAAACTATACCGTTAGACTTACACGTGAGTAAATAACATTGATCATTTTCTATTGCTTCCACTTTATAATATTTTGTTTGCTTATGGTCAGGTGTTATAGCTAGTTGGGAAGCATTGCAGGGCTATGATTTTATCCGAGTTTTCAGTTGTACTTTTACTTCGTTTTGGGCCTGTTGCGCAATAAGAAAAGCGGTTTCAACAGTTGTTCCCTTGTACATTTTTTCGATGTCACAGAACCGCAAAAACCATCCAGGTTTTGTTCCACATAAGTGAAGACCATACAGCTAAGAGGTATAACTCATATAAACGTTCTTCTTTAAAAGGGCCTTAAAGCTATACTTGACTGAAGGAATCGAGTAGAATGCGCTGCTTATGTCGATGACGCCATCTTCTTTACTTACATTTACATTTACTTTTACAAGTAATAACGCACCATAATAACGCACCATACTTTTTAATCTTCATGAAAAACTAATAAGATGTATTGTTTTGTACCACCAGATAGAAGCATTTCTAAAGTTTAAAACTGAATCGAAATCTGACAACTCGAATCAAATAGTAATAGGTTTTATAGCAAATTAATAGTTTATTCAGCAGTGTGTAACCCCTAAGTATTAGCAAGTAAGATATACCAATGTACTGACCTAATGTTCGCGATTCTCTCTGAAAGATACCTACAAAGCTATAGTTCCTGCTGCTCTTTGAAATTCTGAAAAATGTTCCAGTAGGAAGTGCTTGACAGTGAAGCGTGTCGCAAAGTGTGGATACATAAAACCCGACCATAGCATCCCCATCAACGAAGCACAGCGGAAAAGATTTTCACTATTCACAATGAAGGTTGAATGTAGCTTAAAACGGCCCGTGGACCCTGCGGCAAGAA